TAAAGGTAACTTGACTGGTTGAAATGACTCAGCCGCATGAAGCCAACAAGTGGGGCACAGCGCTGGGATGCCATGTTGGCAGAAGTAGCAGCCGCACAGCGTCCGTGGAGGGCAGCTGACGGTATCTATGGCAAGTGCCAACGCACACACTCTTTGAGCCAGCGATGCTGCTTCTAGGAGTGTTTCCTACGTACAAGGATTTTCACCGCAGCATTGTTTGGAATAGCAAAAAGTCGGAAACTGCCACCAACATAGGGCAATGGTTAAATAAAGTATGGTGAATCCACACAGTGGGGTGTTCGGTTTATAAGAACAGAGTCGCTCTGTATGTACTGCCATGGGATGATCCCTAAGGTGCCTGGTCAAGTGGGGGAAAGGGGGCTCTTGGTGTGCTAGTGTTTGTTTTTGGAAGGAGGAAGAGGATGGAGAAAAATGTGTGTTGATGGGTGTATATGCGTGTGTGCGCGCGCACACATATATCATGCACACCTGCTCGCATATGCCTCGAATATCTCTGGGAGGGTGCACGCGAACCTGTCAGCCTTGCTTGCCTCTGGGGAGAGGGGTGGGAATGACTTTTCACTGTATACCTTTTGTACCTTTGGAATTTTATACCATGTACATGTATTATCTATTCAAAAAAATAAAGTTTTTAAATTTTAATTTGATTTCATTTTCTACAAAATAGCAACATGACAGAAGATTCTTGTTGGGTAAATCTGCTCTCCTTAGGAATTTAAAACCCTAGCCCAAAGTAATTAATCTCTCATATTCTTGGGTCTTGGGGGAAATAGGGAAGCAAGAAGGGAGCTACCTTCTAGGTAGGACAGCTCTAGGGAGATGGTTCTACTCCAGGTGTGTGTGTGCGTTGGGTGATGGGGAGGGGACACGAACAGGGAAATGGGACCATGAAGTGGCTGTACCCTGGGAACAGGCCAGGGTGGCTGGAGGATTGCTTCTCTCTCATGAGGGTCACGGCACAGCCCCGTTCCTCTGGCTCTTGGGGTGCGAAAGATGGAGATAGCATCCATGAGTCATGGCCCAAGGGAGCCGTGCCTGCCCCCCATGGAGACCTGCTGTCGGTGGGCTTTTCCTCACCCCTCTCTCTGGCAGAACTGATTGTGTCCAGCCCCAGGGGAGGAGTCATGATGGCCATTCTCAAATAGACTGTTTCTGTTGGCCAAGAATTTGTTTGCGATGGGCATCTAAGCCCATTTTGGCCCCATCATGCTTAGGGAGGGGAGCTTCCTGCTTGGTGGTCAGATGCATTCGGAGAGCTCGCGTTCTTGCACGTTGTCGGGGAAGGACGAGGTGTCTAGAGCAACCTGGGCCATCTTGAGACCGTGAGGAGAGAGAACCCCCACGAACTGAGCTTGGCAGATGGAACAAGCCGGACTTCCTGAAGGCACGGCAGGCCTCTGAACCAACCTGGGGACCCCACACCCCCATACTTCGGGTTCCATGAGAAAAATAAGTCCCATTCAACCAACAAATAGTTGAACTTCGACTGGGTCAGGCCCTGGGAATGCAGCAGTGGACAGAGCAGATGAAAGAACGTGCCTTCACTACCCTCCCGTGGGGGAGCCGCGCAAGGAGCGCAAACCGGGTAGGCCGTACGGCATTACTGCCTCAGCATGCTGACTGCTGAGCCGAAGGCTCAGGAGTGCCTGGCTCGGCCATGATGGTTGCAGTGTTACGAGGAGTTAAGGACCACCCTTACATTCTTTACTGGCTTTTCTTTCTGGAAACTTCCCCAGGGTGCCAGTTAATCTGCCGGCTACTGGAGACATCACACCTTGTCAGGGCCGGCCCAGCATCAGCGTCCTGGTGCCATCCAGGCTCACCATAAATGTCACCAGAGCACCTGCTTGCAAAATGCCTCCTGTCCCTCACTGCCTGTTCCATCTGACTCTTAGCCGCCCTAATTTTCTTTTAATTCTATAAACCGCACGTTATTTTGTATGCTTCTGTTTTATTTTTGTCATGTGTAAGCCAGGTGTGGGTTCTATGGCTTAAACGCTATGGGCAGCTACGCTGCTCTGCGTGAATATTGGCACCTTTGGAAGATAAGGTTTACGTGGTCTCGGCTTGATTCGGGGAAGAAACCATGTCTTGCATTTTCTAGATTTGTGGGCTGTTGGGTTTCAGAAGTTTGAATCGCTATTGTTTTTATGATCAAAACGTCCCGTCCGGAAAAAACTTTCTCAGTCTCTTCTTTTGGGTATCAGTGTTCTCAGCATTAGATAAACATCAACGAACAAATGCACGACCAGGGAGGGAGGGAGCCGCATGGACACCCGTGTGAGGGAGATGCCAGGAAGAGGGAGTCGTGAGGGGAAAGGCCTTGGGGTAGGAGCGGCCATGTTAAAGTGGAGAAAAGTAGCACACTTTATCCATTACATATGACTACATTATAAAATAAAACGATTGGTTTAGCCACAGCCTTCCTACAAGCCTAGAACTTTGTGAAACCAGATTCTGACGTGAAGACACCGTATGATACCTTAATCAGGAAATGAATCCCGACAGGGAAGAGACTAATTCCTCCTACACCCCCCCTACCCCTGTCTTAGTCGTGTTCCTCAGGCAGATTTGAAGCAGAAGAGAAACATGCTTATTAAAGAAGTTCCTGGAATGTTCTTTTAAATCGGATACTTTGCCAATAGACTTATTTCTAATACTCTTCTTAAAAGGAATTACAAGTGCATCCTTACATGAAGTCAGTCATCAACTGATCTGTTTCAGAAATCTATGCATTTTGTAATTACAGTGAGTGGTCAGGGAAGGCCTCACTAACTGAAGAGAAGATTCAAGTCTGAAAGGTCCAACAGAAGTTGCCACCAAATTAGCAAGGAAACAACCTTCGTTTCCAAAGGACTCAACGTACATCATTCCTTCTGCCTGGGATGTTCCCATCATGACCCTACGTTAAGTCAAAGCCCAGGCCAATGGAACACAATCATAAAGCATCCCACCCAGGCGTAAGAGTAAACAAAACATTCCACAAGTCCCCCGCTCCCGCACCCCCCCCCCACAACCCTCCCTAGATCCTTCCTCTAAGGCTCCTGCCTAGAATCCAACTAGAACGGTGCAGGCAGACCCACTAAAGCGCGTGCAGGTCTCATGCTGCAAAATGGGAGCCAACATGGAAACATGGAGTCCAGGCAGACTTCTGTTGGCTTCCCTTCACTGCCCAGTGCTTGGATGCAGGCAGCCCGGGGTCCACACACCAGTTCTGCCAGGTGTTCCTGTGTGACCAGATGCGGGCTACTTCCCCTCTCGGAACGTGGTTAAATGAGAACAATACCTACCTTGAAGGATACATGTAGGATTAAATGAGCATTTATATATGAAACCTACTACAACAGCAACACATGGCAGATGCCCAATAGGTGGTACTCTTAAAATTATTCCCGATTGTGTGTTTTATGAAGAGAGAGACAGGGAAGAAGCTCTTTACTGCCGCCTAGTGTGATTCAGCCAAGAGGGGGAAATCCCCAGTAGCCCCAAGCTTGAGCTCCAGCCTTGTAAAACACAACAATGTGCCTAGTCTTTTCTTCCCTGCCTTGGTTCACGGAGGATTTGAGGTGGCTTTGAGGAAATGCACAGAATATGAGAGGAAAATACAAATAGAACAGAAAACACCAGGATAGGGAAGCCCTAAGTAAACACTGGAATTACAGACTGGCTAGAAACATTAGACACAAGTCTAGTTTGTGTAGGTTGCCAGTTCCTACACAGATTCCAAAGTTAGGCCAGAAATTTGGATCTGTTCTTCCTGATCAAGGGAAAAATGCAAACAGTCAAGGAAAAGTCCTCATTATCATTAAAAAAAAAAAAAAAAAAGGCCTTCACAAAGAATGGAGCAGATGACTACATTTTTATGTGAAATGCATTAACAGGTTTCATAAGACTAGTTCTTGAGGGGCGCCGGGGTGGCTCAGTCAGTTAAGCATCTGACTCTTGATTTCCGCTCAGGTCATGATCTCATGGTTTGTGAGTTCAAGCCGGAGTTCAGCACGGAGCCTGCTTGGGATTCTCTCTGTCCCCCTCTCTGCCCCTCCCCTTCTCGCTCTGTCTCTCTCTCAATATAAGTAAATAAACTTCTAAAAAATTTAAAAAGACTATTTCTTGAAGCATCTCCCAATGAAAATAACATTCCGAAATGACTCCAAAAAGGCTGTCGTAGGGACATGCGTAGCACCTGCGTGATGGGTCACTCTCCAGCAGCAAAGAAGTAGTGGGACTACAGTCTCTTCCCAGACTCCCTTTGGAAGCTCTCGCCTGAACGGGGCTGACATGCAGCAAGCTGAGACTGTGGATCGTCTGAGGTCTTACGGGCCCTCTATCGTAAAAACACTGAGTTCGGTGAACAGGTTGTTTCTGACTCATTCGATGACAGGATCTGATCTCAGTGTGAGCTATTTTTAGCCTTTTCTCACAGTGTAAATATTCATATATTTCACTGCACAGTTTGAGTAGAGACTGCTGCCCCCACCCCAGCTGGGGGTGTTATCTAATTTATGCAACACACACCATATTGCCTTTCTAACACTTAAAAAAAAATTCTAAACTCCAAAGCCTATCTGGACCCAACGATTTTGGAAAAGGCTCTGTGGACCTGTATACTCTGATCAACCCCAAAGTACCAAATCCCAAAGAATATCTACATACCTCAGACATCCAGTGAGCCAATGGCGGAGGGGTCTGTTTTGTGTATATTGAAAAGCATAATCGGCAGGCAGCCAGCACTTCTCCAAAATCAGACGGACTATGGCCAGCATGACTTGGTCCAGGAATCCCCCTCATCCAGGCCCTCGGACCCCTCCATTCCTGGGCCGCATTTGGTATTTTCAGGAAGGCCAAGATCCACTATGGAAGTTGAGGGGCTGTTGTATCTTAGTTCTACAGTAGGTGTCCCTCTTTCAAAGGCATGTGTGAGTGTGTGTGTGTGTGTGTGTATGATCAATCATACATACGAATGATTCTGAGCCTAGAAATAAATGCTTCAAAAGTATTTTTATTACACATACAAATCCATATGCTGAAGAAGGTGGGAACATTTGTCACAGCTGCTCTCCCTCGTACAGAAGCAGAGAAAGGGCCCCACCGGGGTCCTCAACACTGGTGACACGGTGAGATCACTTGGGGAGATTTAAAAAGCACTCGTGCCTGCAATTCACCATGCTCCCCCCCACCCCTGAAATGCCTGTTTAATTGGTCCAAAGAACAATCTAAGCACCTCACTGCTTAGGGACACTAAGCAGTGTCCCTCACTGATGAAAAAGAAAATCATCTGGAGAAGTCAATAACATAAATTGCCAGCCCTCTTCTCTGAAAGTCTCCTTCAGTGGATATGGCTGCATGGGACACTTCTTTTAAAAAAACCAAAGTTCAGATGATTCCTGTCTCCCAGACTGGGATACACCACCTTGGAGGGTGGGGAAGAGAAGTTGAATCGGGTGGATAGAGGGTGGGAGAAGGGCTGTTTCACAAATGAGACAGTCTCCTGAGTGGACCCCCAAACAGGCCCCTGGGCTCCGTGCAGCGGGGCCCCCCCCCCCCCCCCGTCACCGGCCCTGCCGGAGAAATAGGGTTTTATGCGAAGGAAAGGCAAGCCGGCTTGGACTCCCCTGTCAGTTTCACCGGTCAGCAGTCACTGCCAGGAGCGCTGTCTGAAAAGGATCCCGGGGCAGAGGTCCGCTCAGTGGACAGACTGCCGCGGTCGATTGGCAGTGTCTGTCACATATCCGGAAAGGGCACACCACAGGCTTGCCAGACGCTTTCTGCAGAGCCCTTGGCGTTGCTGCTCCTCCGGTCCAGGCCCAGCGGTGCGGCTCTCACACGTCAACACCCCGCCTGGGGGGAGAGGCTTCCAGATGACGGGGGTGGTGGGGGGGGGGAGGCGGGGGCCCTGCCACCTGCCCACAGCCCCCCCACCTGCACGTCTCTCCAGGCCCCGCGTTCATCTCTGCCTGCTGAAGAGACTCTTGAAGGCGTTGTTGTAGTTCTTGTTAAATGCCGTGTAGATCAGGGGGTTGAAGAAGGAATTGGAGTAGCCGAGCCACAAGAATATGCTTTTCCAGATGGGGGGCAGGCTGCAGGCACAGAGGGGGCTGATGAGCTCCGCCAGGAAGAAGGGGATCCAGCACAGCACAAATACGCCAATGAGAATGCCCACCATCACGGCCGCCCGCTTCTCCTTCTGCTCCCGCCACGAGTCCCCGCTCATCTGAAAGGCCACCACCGGGCGACGCGCCGTGAACACCATCTCAGCCTCGTGAGGGGCCTCCTTCACCTTGGGACAAAGGAAATGTGCCGTGAACACCGAAAACCCAACACTGGACGCTAAAGCAACGTGGGGTGGCTCCCGTGCGGCCAACACCTCCCCCGCAGCCTCATTCAAGACCCATTTATCCATAATCCGTCACAAACGTTCTGTGAAAAGGTTCCTGAGACTGTAGGTTAAACTAAGCCCCGAAAGTTCTTCCGGGAGTGAGAGTGGCGGTCCCCACAATGTCAATATGATATAAAAAGAGAGGGAGGCAGTTAAGAGCGGGAGCCTCGTGTCAGACTCTGGCTGGAGTCCCAGCCCCACGGGCCATGTGTGAAGCTGGGTGACGAAAGTCCTCTCCCCGGTAAGGACACCATGGAGGTGAACTGGGAATGTGCTGGGTGTGCCATTCAATGCTCATGGAATGGGCTGGGTCGGGGACTAGGGCCCCAAATAGAACAGCCCTGACCCAGGCCAGGCACGAAGTTCGCAGCTGGAGAGGCAGCCTATAAACCTCAACATCGCAAGAAATTGTACAACTATGTGCTAAATGGATTCAATTCGGATTTGGGGGTACTTCTGTACTGCCTAGCTTTGGGGGCACCTGGGTGGCTCAGTCGGGTGAGCGTCCGACTCTTGGTTTCGGCTCAGGTCATGATCTCACAGTTCGTGGGTTCCAGCCCCGCATCAGGCTCTGCACTGACAGCAAGGCTCCTGCTTGGGATTTTTCTCTCCCTCTCTCTCTGCCCCTCCCCAGCTTGGTGTCTCTCTCTCTCTCTCTCTCTCTGTCTCTCTCTGTCCCTCTCAAAAAATAAATAAATAAGCATAAAAAGGTTTTAATTAAAAAAAAAGACAGGGGTGCCTGGGTGGCTCAGTCGGTTGAGCGTCCAACTTCGGCTTAGGTCATGATCTCACAGTTCGTGGGTTCGAGCCCCGCATCAGGCTGTGTGCTGACCGCTTGCTCAGAGCCTGGAGCCTGCTTCGGATTCTGTGTCTCCTTCTCTCTCTGCCCCTCCCCCGCTCACGCTTTGTCTCTGTTTCTCAAAAATAAATAAATGTAAAAAAAAATTAAAAAAAAAAAAGACAGCTGTAAATGCCTTTGTGGTAATAATTCACTACTCTTTAAGGAGTCCCCAGCACAATGTCCACCCTGTCACCCCCATCCTTTGGCTAACTCCTATTTACTTCTTGGGTCTCAGCTTAGAGGCCACCAACCCTCTCAGAGTGGCCTTTGTGACCCTCTAAACTCAATCACATTGTCCTCTTCCGTAGCAATTTGTGTGACTGTGGCTATTGCATCTGCCCCGCCCCCGCCCCAGTCCAAGCTGAACAAGGGCGGGGACTGTGTCTTCTAGGACTGTGTGCCACCTGCCTGGCAGTAGCCGCCGTGCCTGGCAGGTGCTCCGGGAAACAGCTGCTGCATTAACGAGTGACCATGACAACAGGAGGGTCCGCATCTGCATTTCCCTTCCTGCCCGGATGCTGCCAGCCATGGCCCACCGACACTGGGGGCACCCAGGGGCGGGAGGCTTGGGAGCAAGGGTTGCATCTAGCTTGGACACCGCTGGAAGCAGCTGTGGGGACAGCATCACGGCCATGGAGCACAATACAGGGCCCACAGCCCATTCGCCGTCTGCTCTCACTGGGTTAGGATGGCCAAAGCCAAGTGCTGCAGGACCCCCCGGGGGCCTGACCCATGCAAACCTGGGACTCCACCCTGGGAACCACCTTCGAATTCAGTGTCTTCTGCTACTTCCCCCACCACCCCCAGCATCTTTCGTGGGAAAATCACTACACCGGCCTGGAAAGAGATCACGAAGACGTGGACAAAGAGTCCTTGCCTTTGCCAGCGCCCACCTGGCTTCCTGTCCGCTGCCTGGAGAGAGACAATGACAAGGAAAGTGATGGCAGCATGGGAACAAACAGCATTTCCCCCTCCCCCCCTTGCGCCCCCAGAGCGGCCAGCCAGAACCCCTCTAATGAGCCTTTCCAAGGTTTGCCAGCCCCCCATGGGCAGGTATGAGCCCCATGTCCCCACTCCTCTTCAGAAGAGGTGGTACTGATCGGCTGATTGCCTCTTGATGGACCATCAAGTCACCAGACAAGTCTGAGCCACAAAACGTGCCTTTCTGAAACCACCTCATGAATATTTAACAGTCTACTAGGGAGGGGATCATGTTATCAGAGCAGGATCGGAAGTGGGAGGTGATGCGTTTGTTTCTTTCTCTCCCACGGGGCTCCCACTCCATCCATAATGGGCACTTTTCCAGCCACTTCTCTGCTGACCTACGCGGCCTCCCAGGCACTGGAGTCCCTCCTCTGGGTAAGGCAAGTTCTAAGTCCTTGTTATGCTGTTGAGGGAATGAAATGGGGTGAATTCAGTTCAAAGGGCTCCTGGGGGAAGAGAAACAGAAAAGGCAAATTCACTGACCAAGGAGGTTTAAAATACCAGGCCTCCAGCACCGCGGCACGACGTGGCAGAACCCGAGTCTGTCCCGCCTCAGCATCTGTTCGCTAGAAGTAAGCTCACAGCTTTCCACCTGAGCCTGCTGCACTCTGTGCAGAGACAGACAGAGAGAGAGGCTGGGAGACCCTGGAATCTTTCCAGAAACAGCTTCAAAGAAACTGAGTCAACCTGGGATGATCCTGGTTGGCGAGGGGACTGGGTAGCTTGGCTCTTCTTGTTTGAAATGAGATATCCAAAAGGGGCTAAGGGCAACTCTAGAGAAGTTACTCTAAGACAGACGCGATGCTAAACACTTGTGACGGATAACTTTAATTCATTCTCACATCAGACTTTCGAGGTATTCATTACTATTATTATCTCCATTTTGGAGTTGAGAAAACACTCTGAGAAGTTACATGCCTTGTCCAAGGTCACCCAGTTGCTTCTTACAAGAGCTGGAAGTCAGACTTGAATATCTGGACCCAGAGACCACACTCTTAATCCCTATATGTTGTTCCTCGCGTTTAGTAAACGTGATTGCTCTGAATAGGTTCCGACAGAACCTATCTTAAGGATATTTATGCCTGGAAATGTTTTCAGAACGGACATGAAGGGCTTCCTGGTGATTTCTCTGGCCACCAGCTCTGGGGCCACCCCTGAGCTTCTCCATCCTCCTCTTTGGTCTTCTCTCTCCTCAACCTCCTCACCCCAACTTCCCTCTACACCGCTGTCTGAAAACTGACCATCTGGGCTTTAGAGGCCTCTGACCTCTGGTTAGAAATCCGCTCATGTGCAGACAAGAATACGGGCTGGTGAAAGCATACAGTCAGTGGGTCCTGCTGAAAAAGGAAAGGTGCTCTCAATACACAGAAGTTTGGGCACGTCAAATGCCATGGCCAAGGCCACGCAAGCAGGGCAAAATGCCAGACCTTCCCGGCTCTTGACGGTTGTCTGGTACGTGGCTAGGCGGTTCCACACACTGTCTTATTCAGTAATGACAGCGACCAGTAAGGAGGGGATGAGGAAACCGAGGCTCAGAGCAAGTTAGTGATTAGACAGGATTACCATCCGAGCCCCCACTTCTACATCTGTAACCGTGAAGAATCTTGTCTGTACTGTAGGCCTAGTGTGAGGATCACAATGAGGCACGGTGCATAGTAGGACCTCATAAATGTCAGCCTCCTGTCCCCTTGTTCCTTCCTTCTCCTCTAATAAAAAGAAAAAAAAATTCTAGTGGGGCTCCTGGGTGGCTCAGTAGGTTAAGTGACTGACCAGCTCAGGGCATGATCTCACGGTTCATGGGATTGAGCCCCGAGTCGGGCTTTGTGCTGACAGCTCTGAGCCTGCTTCCAATTCTCTGTCCCCCCTCTCTCTTCCCATCCCCCACTCACATCCTGAGACTTCGGCTCAGGTCGTGATCTCATGGTCCATGGGTTCGAGCCCCGCGTTGGGCTCAGTGCTGACAGCTCAGAGCCTGGAGCCTACTTTGGATTCTGTGTCTCCCTCTCTCTCTGTCCCTCCTCTCTCTCAAAAATAAATTTTAAAAAATTTTTAAAAATTCCAGCTGCTGGGGCTCCTGGGTGGCTCAGTCGGTTAAGCATCCGACTCTGGCTCAGGTCATGATCTCACAATCCATGGGTTCGAGCCCTGCATCAGGCTCAGTGCTGACAGCTCAGAGCCTGGAGTCTGCTTTGGATTCTGTCTCTCTCTCTCTCTCTCTGCCCCTCCCCTGCTCATGCTCTGTGTCTCTCTGTCTCTCAAAAACAAATTTTAAAATTTTTTAAAAATATTCCAGCTGCCACAGAAAGAATGCACAAACATTTTTCATCCTCTAATGTTGTTAACTCAACATCCTAACAAGGAACAGGAGAGGAAAGCAGAAAGAAGCATTGTCCCAATCACTTGTGGAACAAACACCAGTTGGTGCTGTGACCCCACGGGTTAGACAAGAGTCTCCATGAGGCAGGTGTCGGGGCGGCCACGCTAATCCCAGTGATGAATCAAGACCTACAGCCTCTGAGCGAGGAGAGAGGGCATAGAGAGTCTCCTGGTTTGGGCTGAAGGCACCCCAGATCGTAAGTGGAACCCCCTGTTTCTAACCAGAGCTCGGCAGGTCAGGACCGAGAATGCCTGGGGCTCCAGTCTCTCTGCCCCAGGGTCCATGGGGCGCACCAAGCTCCCCACCACATTTCCCAAAGGTACGCCAAGGACATGACTAGCCAAAATAGCCCCTCAACGTGAACAGAAACTGTCTAGCTTGTCTGACAACATAGAGCAGCAAATGTTCTCAGCTGCTTCTCTGGTGGAAAAAAAAAAAAGAAGAAAGAAAGAAAAAGAAGAAAAGAAAGAAAGAAAGAAAGAAAGAAAGAAAGAAAGAAAGAAAGGAGGAAGGAAGGAAGGAAGGAAGGAAGGAAGGAAGGAAGGAAGGAAGAAAGAAAGAAAAAAGAAGGAAGGAAGAAAGAAAGAAAAGAAAGAAAGAAAAGAAAAGAAGGAAGGAAGAAAGAAAGAAAAGAAAGAAAGAAAGAAAGAAAGAAAGAAAGAAAGAAAAGAAGGAAGGAAGGAAAGAAAGAAAGAAAAA